AGATGAGGTCTCGCCAAGTTGCCCAGGCGGGTCTTGAACCCGCGGGCTCAGGCAATCCACTCACCTCAGCCTCCCAAAGCGTGGGATTACAGGCTGAGCCACCGAGCCCAGCTAGGACTTAATTTCTAAAAATCTACAAATTTATTAAAGAATATGAACATATCCTTTTGGATTGGAAAAGTTATTATAAAGATATAAGCAATCCACAATTCAATATTTCTGTGTTGAAATCAAAATCCTTACTGATTTCATGGGTATTATGTAAACATACATTTCATATTCATATTCAATAATAAGTGTAAAAAAGTTAATTAGAAAAAGAATAGATTTTTGAAAAGGAAAGAGAATTTGCAATACAGACATTTATATATATTATAAAGCTACAATAGTTAGTTATTTTGGCAAAGATTACAAAGAAGATAAATAAGGGGATGAAATAGAAAGTCAGGAGGAGATCAAATATCCAAAAGTATTTAGTCTATCATAAAAAGTGGCATTCAAATAAATTCGAAAAGGGCATATAGCTATTAAGCAAATGGTGCTGGGACAACCAGTTAACTATTGTAAAAAAAAAAAAAAAAAAAAAGGCATCTTTATCACATCATACACAAAAAAGTTCTAGATGAATTAAACTGTTAAATGGAAAACTATTTCTATGATTTGGGACATGAGGGAGCCATTCTAAGACTATGAGCAAATATAGAATCTTAAGAACAATAGTAGATTTGAGTGTATAAATATATAAATCATTCATCTAGCAACACTTCCATAAACAAAAGTAAAAGACAATGAACTGGAACAGCGTTTGCAACATACACAAGAATTACTGGCCTTACTATATAAAGAACTTTTACAAATCATTAAGAAACAACCAAGCATGCACTGTAATGGCAAAATGGGCAAAAATTTTGACTGGAAAACTATTACAGGAGAAAAATACCAGTACCTAGTAAATGATTGAAAAACTTTCATTTTCAAAATCTAAAATTTAAATTTGCTAAAATGATGCCTCTACTCACCTATTTAAAGGCAAAAATATTCAAAATAATAGCACAAGATATTAAGCATGTGGAAAATTTTGCTGCTGTGATACTCTGCTGGTGGGAATATAAATTCACACAAACCTCCAAGAAAGAAATGGACAATGTGTGTCAAAAACTTCACAAATGTTAATATCCTTTAGTACAAGAACTTTTCTTGAAATTCCTCTTGAAGAATTATGTCAAGAGGCCCATAAATATTTGTGTTTACTATAACTCAGTTAAGAAAAAAATTGAGTGTCCAACAATAGATGATTGGTAAAACAAATTACGGCACTTGTATGCAATGGAATAGTATGCAGCTAATGTAGAACATTTCTATCATAACAAAAAATACATTTAAAATGTAAGCTACTAAACAGCAAGAAATCGATTTGGTGCAAAGTATGTACAGATGTGCATACTGGACAAATGTTTAACAACACGTAAACAAGCTTTTAAAGGGTGATGGGATTATGGGTTTTTTCTTTTCCTCCTTTTTTGTTTCGTTCATTCCACAAACACTAGTTTGCTACTATGTGTCAGATATTTCTGTATGTTCCAAGCTTTCTCCCACTGAATATGTATTACTCTGTAATTATAAAAAAAGATACATTTTGTATAAATCCATCATCCGAATCTGACTTCCTCTGCCAGATGCTGAAAATCTAGTAAAGGACTTGGAGCAAAATTAGGAGGGCCATATACCTTACACTGAAAGCATAACTTCGCCGGGCTCGGTGGCTCAGCCTGTAATCCCGCGCCTTTGGGAGGCTGAAGTGAGAGGATTGCCTGAGCCCGCGGGTTCGAGACCCGCCTGGGCAGTGAGACCTCATCTCTACAATAAATCAAAAAATCAGCCGGGCGTCGTAGCGCATGCCTGTAATTCCAGCTACTTGGAAGGCTGAGACGGAAGGATCGCTGGAGCCCAGCAGGTAGAGGCTGCGGTGGCCGGGAGCGGCCACTGCACTCCAGTCTGGGTGACAGAGTGAGACTCCAACTCAAAAAAAAAAAAAAGCATAACTTAGAGAAGAACTGGGGGAATAGTCAGATCTCTCCACGCCCTACCTTTAGAAACACTTCGTAAACCATACTCACCTGTTCCAGCTTGGATACCGTCTGTTCTACGTCTGTGAATATGGGTATAGTCTTAGGAACCCCTTCCGCTTAAGGAGCCCGACCGTTCGCCAAGCGCTTAGACCCGGTTCTCCCCTTGGACCCCCCACAACAAGAAGAGGAGGGGAGCGACGACTGGTTTGGTGGATGAGGACGCTGGACTTGGGGAGGTTACGCCTTGCTCGAGACTGAACCCGGGCCGGCAGGTAGCGGCGGCTGGGAAGGGCTCTAGGGGCGAGGGCCGGGGCAAGAAGGGGCGGGCACCTTACCGCGGCTTGCTGGAAGGCGCCCTTGGTGTAGGTGCCGCCGCCGCGGTAGGTGATGGCCGGGATCTCGCGGCTGAGCAGCGCGCACTTGTGCTGGTGCGCGCGGCGGGAAGAGATGTAATCGACGCGCGGCACCACGTTGTTCTTGGACGAGAAGGTCACGATGGCCACGCGCGTGGCCGTGGGCACCACGGGGAAGTCGGACAGCAGCTTACGGACGAACTTGAGCTCGCTGAGGAAGTTGGCCTGGCCCACGCTGGACGACTCGTCCACCAGGAAGACGAGCTCCAGGCGCTCGCTGAGCTCCCGCAGCCGCCGCACGCGCCGCCGGAACGCTTGGCCCAGTCGTGCCACTTTGCTCTCCGCCGCGTCCTCGCCCGGCGCGGGCGGTGCGGGCAGACTCCCGGGGGCCCCGGGAGCGGCCTCGGGAAAGAGGCGGAAGCTGAAATTGCGCGACGGGGACATCTGCTGAAAGGTCGCCCAGCCCGAGACGAGCGCCAGACACCAGCAACAAAAGGCCAGACGCGGCCACATCGCGCCGGAGACGGAGCGGCCGCCCCCGAGCTCAGGCGACGGCCCTGGCGGGGAGAGGCGCGCGGCGGCCCGGCTCGTGGACGGGCAACGACCGCGAGCCTCAGCGCCCTTTCATCTGACACTGGGGACACAATCCAGACTCCTCTGGCAGCGCGGAGATTCGGGAGGGTTCGGCGCGCGTTCTCTGCCCCCTCTCTCTCCTTTTTTTTCCCCCTTGCCTCTCTCCTCCTCCCCTCGCTCCCCGAAGCCTATAAAATGTTTGAAGGAAAGGGGGCAGTCGAGAAAAATCTCCCGCTTCCCTCCTTCTCGCCCTCGCTCCCTCCTCTTTCCCCTCTCCTCTCCCCTTCCTCTATCTCTGCCTCTATCTCTCTCCTCCCCCTCTCATTCTCCTCCCGGGATCAGGCCAAAGTCTCCGAGATTTCATGACACCAGAACCCGCATCTGTCAGGCTGTCAACATTCCCGCAGCAAGCGCACCAGTGCCGAAGCCCTGATTGATCCCATATGTCTGGCAGGAGCTGCAGAGGAATTCGCTGGAGATGGATCCAGATACCGAGAGTGCCACAGTAATTGGAAACACTTTGTAGAAGAAAACACACACGGACTGGCCAGGGAGTTGAAAGCACCCTTGGGAAACTGCTTGCTCACCTCTTGTGTTTCTTTTCCCCTCCCTTTGGTGCCACAGAGTCCTCAACAAACAGATGATCCTATGAGTTTCCCGATGGGGATTTCTGATCCGTGGCGTGTGTGAGCGTGAAGACCTTTGAAGGCCCCTCAGATCACACCATGAAGTGACGGCAGCTGTCTCTATGCATCCCATGGAGATGTGTCGTGGTACTTCATGCATTTATTTATGCATCCGTTTGTTCGTTCATTTATTTAACAAATATTTTGGGGGTGCCCATTTACATGCCAGGATCTGTGCTAGGCACCGGGAATATAAGGGAGAGTAGTTGACATGGATTCTGTCCTCGAGGGACTTATAGGGTGATAAGTCAGGTGAGTGTTAACCAGGTAGTCACACAGGAAACATTCAGAGAGTGCAAAAAAAAAAAAAAAAATTGTATACACATTTTAAGAAAGGAAGGAACTGTATTAAAATTGTACTACTCAATATATACCAATAACTAAAAGATGAATACAAGTCACATTTTACTTCTGCAATTGCAAGAGGTGCTCAAAGTGGTTACCACCAGTGTCCAGACACTTCTGATTATGGTAAACTAAAGGAATACATAGATAACTAAAAGGAATACATAGATAACTCTTAAAATGTGTATACATTTTTTTTGGCACCCATGTTATGTAATTACAACTGACCATACTGCTTGCTATAAATAAGAACTTAGGTAGACTTGGCTCTGGAGAGGCCAAGGAGGCTTTCTCTGAGGATGCAACATTTGCACTGAAATCTGAAATATAGTAGTGTCCATTTTCCCCAGTCCCCTTTCATGTGCTCCTCATCTATTTCAACAGGTGAGACCCACCTGGATCTAAATGGGACGTGGCAGATGTATATTTTGAAACACAAGTTGCTACTTGGGGGTGGTTTTTCCAGAGAAAGATCCCAGAAGTGATTGTGTGAGTGTAAAGAAGGAACACACTTTGCAAAGGGGGGTGGGGGGCTTGTTTAAAAGATTGCAGCTTGGAGTTGGGAGCCCTGTGCAGCTATGTCTCTGCAGTTCTATAAACCATCTAAATCCAGTCACTTTCAATTCTTGGCTCAGTTTCTGCATCTATTTCCTGATGGAATTCAGTGATCTCAAAGTTTCCTCTGTCTTTGATAGTCAATGATATAACTCCATCCATATTTAATATAATACCTTCAATGAGAGATATCACAGTGCATTGCTTGAATTGTTAGGACTCTGGCATCATTTTGCCTGGGATGAAATCCTGGCTCTGCCATTTACTAGTTGCAGGACCTTTCTACCAGTGTTGTTCATTTTTAGGATGGACTAATAATAATAGCATATGGGCTATAAGGATTAAATTATAAAAAAAGTAAAGTTCTTAGGACAATGCTTGGAACATAGAATGTACTCAATAAATGCTGGTTGCTGTTATTGCCACGCTTAATCATGAATGTTCTTCAAATTTTTATTTTCCTAGTAACATTTATTAACTGTCTATTGTGTGCCAGTCTGTTAGATACTGAGGATTTAAAGGTGAATAAGACTCAATTTCAGGCCTCCAGAATTTCAATTCATATCAGAACAGAAATTTGCAACACAATTAAGCAGTTGGACAATAGCAAGGATGGAGAAGGAGGATTGAGGAGGAGAAAGATCTATTTTTTCCTGTGGAATGAGCAAGACCTCATTTGAGCTGAGGACTTTCCAAATTTCGTCTACTCTGTGTTATTTAAACACATCATAAAGTGCTAACATTTCAGGGCCTTTACATGTGAAACTCCATGGCAACTGTTACATGCACTATCTACTGTGTTCCCCACAAAAAAAACCCAGGGAGGCACACAGTTGCTTTAGAACTCTGGATGCAAGCAAGAGGCATCCAGTTCCTCCTCATTTAAACAGAAAGGAATTTCTTGGCTCATACAATTAAACTGGGGAAAGGTCAGAGGGTGGAGCTGCTCTCAAAATGGCTTGGAAATGAAAATGAAGATCTGCTTAGGTCTTGAATTTTTCTCTCACTTCTCTTTGCATGCTACATTAGTCTCTTCAAATTTATGAACTGAGAAAGATTCTTCTCCACAAGCTCAAGCTAATTTTTTTTTAAAAAAACAAAACCCATCACCACAATCTTAAAAACTCCCTTAGAGTAGGCATGGGTCACATGCCCATTCATTAATCCAGAATTGTAGTTAAGGGGAAGGACCATTATAATTGTCCTCACTTTGGTCCATGCTCACTATGGCAAATACTCCTAGTCACCAAGCCCCCAGCTCTAGTCTCCCCTTCTTAAATAGCAATAAAGCCTCTGAGTATTAGCTGGGCACAAAGGTACCTAGAATAAAGACTACATTTCCCAGCCTCTCTTGCAGCTGACTGTGAACACACAACTAGGTTCTGAGTACTGATATATAAGTGCTGGTTTTATGTGGCAGTTTCTGGAAAATCTTTTTAAAAGACAGCTGTTGTCTTTTATTGGTTATCTCGTCCTTTCATCACTTAATCCATCCTTGTATAAGACATAAGCATAATGACAGAAGTCTATAAGCCATCTTGGGCTATGAGAATGATGGCCTCATTCTAGAGATGGATGGAGCTTTAGGCCCATATAGACTTCTTGGAGGATTACCACCATACTCATTCCAGATTGCCTAGCTCTCCCCTTTATATTGAGTTTTTCTGTCACATCCAGCTGAACTTAATCCTGACTATAATCACACCAGCAGCAATAGAGGCTATCCCATCAATACATGCTTTCATGAATGCTGTGGCATAGTAGAGAGGCCAAATGAATTGTATAGGGTGACAAGGGTGACACACATCCCTTCTGCTCTGTTTCATTACCCAAATGAAGTCACATAGCCTACCATATTTCCAGAAAGCTAGAAATATTTGCTGAATAGCACAAATAGTTACCACATTGAGTCATATAACAATGGAAAGATAGTTGAGCTTAAAAAGCAAAGTAGAGACAAAACTCTGGGAAGCTTAGGCTGCCTTAAAATGTAGGTGATTTCTATAGAAAATAATTGTAAATCAGTTTCTGTGAGGACTTTCTGATTAGTTTAGAATAGCAGGTTGACCTTATTCCTGCTGTATCTATATATGTCCTTGGTGAATTATGTAGTAGTACCCAATTCTAGCAAATTCCAGCAAGAGTTTGTAATTGAGCAGATGTGGGGAGTTGGTTAAATTATTCTTTTGAGCTTCTTTTGTCCTTAGCCCTTCTTGAAACATTTATCTTTCTTGGCACAAAACACTCAATTATGTTAAAAATTAGTTATCAATATATTTAAAAACAACATTTGTCATATAGTAATACATGTACCTCTTCACAATCACATTGAGTAACTTCATCTATCAACTGTTTCAGTAAATGCCATATTTCCAAAGTAATACAAGTAACAATATTTTGATGTACCTGCCATAGGCCTAGGTACATTTAATGCTCTCTGGATAATTCTGACACATGCCCCAGGGGTAAAGCATAAGAATAACATGCTCTGGCATTGTGTACTTCCAGTTGAACAGTCATGGGGCTGAACGGTCAGACCCATGTTAATTGTCCTTAATGTGTAAGAAAGTGGGGACTTATCAGACTCAGAGAAGCCTTGCCTGAATGTTATTAAGACTGCTGCTCCAAGTGTCACCACTGCTCCCAAGTATTATGTAGTCAATTATACTCTTGAGTCCAAAGCAGTGGTTCTCAATGGGGGAGGAGAGATGATTATGCATGCACTATCCTAGGAATATTGGACAACGTCTGGGGACTTCTGGGTGGAGGGCAGTACTACTGGCATCTAGTGTGTAGAGGCCAGGAATGTAGCTAAACATCCTACAATGCACTGGAAAGTCCTCACAACAAAGCATCACCCAGCCCTACTTGGCAATATTGGCAAGAGTGAGAAACCCTGGCCTATCCCACAGTGATAGACACAGAAGATGATAAAAACTAATTAAACTAAAAACTAAGTTTGAGAAATAACTTAAAGGTACCAAATTACAACATGGAATTGAATAGTGAAAAAACTACTCTGGCTTCATGAAACAAAGACTTTTGAAAAATAAATATGTGTTGGTTGGGATAGGTAAAGAAGGGTGCATTATATTCTCTCCTCCTCTACCCTGATTTAGAGTCCCATGGTTTGATCTGCTAGAAGCAGAACCTCAGTCCTGTCTACCCACTAGGACCTAAGCTTGCTGAGGATACCAGCTTTACTCTTCCCTTCACTTCACCCATCTTTACACATTAAAGTAGATAATGTGAACAGATTAAGATGTATGAAAAGAAAGATGGAAGAGGGACTGAGGAAGAGAGCAGAGAGTGGCACTGACAATGACCCTTCTGAGAAACCAAGAATCAAACCCAGTCATGGCAGCAGAGAGAGACAAATATCAGTTTCCATGCATGCTGGTTGTCATGTTTTGTTTTGTTTTTTAAAGCTATAACAGTGTCAATGAATTACAGCAGCTGGTTGTGTTGATAGGAGGAAGGAAGATGCCACCTTGTGACTGTATTGTGCCTGTACTTATAAGAATATCTTTCCATAGTGAATTTAACAAAGACATTATCTCACATGCAGAGGTTGGGAAAATATGTCATTCTGTATATTTCTTTAAGTATAATTAATTGAAGATGGAGTTCGTGGCAGAAAAGCCCTGGCAGTGAGACATTAAGAGCAAATAAAATTCAATGAATATAAATTAATGCTGTAAATCTGTTTATAACATAGGTGCAGACAGAACATTTAAAAATACACATTATTTTATGTGTGTTCACTATCTAATCCTGCCAAATACCCTCTTAAGTGAGTACAATGCTTATCTAATTTTCATAGGTGAAGAAATAAAACTATACACAGTAATCATAAGTCTGGACATAAAGAGTTTATTGATATTACACTTCAATACATGGCATGTGCCAATGCACTGTCTCTTGCTAGTAATGTAATACTGCATGGAAGGTGGTGCACTAACACACCATTTGTGCTACTTGCTGCATTTGTGTTTATGATGCACAGGACTGCCACAGTTGGCAATTGAGAAACTCACTGCACCAAGGCTATATATAACCAAAGGAACCCTACAGTGCC